CAGGCGCCCACCACAACACCCGGCTATTTTTGTTGTGGTTGTCATTGCTGTTTGGTGGGCCCGGGCTGGATTCAAACCCACCAGCTCTGGTGTATGTGGCTGGCACCTTAGCCGCTTGAGCTACAGGACCAAGCCTCTTCTGCTATTTTTTTCCTTAGGGTTTCATAATTATCTTTGTAGAGGACCTTCACCTCTTTTGTTGGTATTTTCCTACATATTTTATTTTGAAGCTACTGTGAAGGGAATTATGTCCTTGATTAGCTTCTCATCTTGACTGTTATTGGCATATACAAAGGCTACTGATTTGTGGACATTTATTTTATATCCTGAGGCATGGCTATACTTTTTGATCATTTCCGGGAGTCTTGTGGTTGAGTCTTCGGGATTCTCTAAGTACAAGATCATGTTGTCAACAAAGAGCAAGAGTTTGACCTCCTCTCCCCACCATTTGGATGCCCTTTATTTCCTTCTCTTGCCTGATGTGTTGGCTAGAACTTCAGCACTGTGTCGAACAGTAGTTGCGATAGAAGACAACCTTGTCTGGTTCTGGTTCTAAGCGAAAAAGCTTTCAGTTTTACTCCATTCAGTGTAATATTAGCTGTGGGTTTGTTGTAGATGGCTTCAGTCAGATTAAGGAGCATGCCACCTATGCCTATATTCCTAAGTGTTCTAATTAGAAAAGGATGCTGAATTTTATCAAATGCTTTTTCTGCATCTGTTGGGAGGACCATATGGTGTTTGTTTTTGCTTCTGTTGATATGGTGAATTGTGTTTATGGACTTGTATATATTAAATCAGCCTTGCATCCCTGGGATGAAATCTACTTGATCGTGATGAATGATTTTTTTAATGTGTAGCTATACTCTATTGGCTAGGATTTTGTTGAGAATTTTTGCATCTATATTCATGAGTGAAATTGGTCTGAAATTCTCCTTTTTAGTTGGGTCTTTTCCTGGTTTTGGTATCAGAGTGATGTTTGCTTCATAGAACATGTTGGGGAAGATTCTTTCCTTCTTAATTCTTTTGGAATAATTTCTGCAGTATGGGTGTAAGCTCTTCTTTGAAGGTTTGATAGAATTCTGGTGTGAAGCCGTCTGGATGAGGGCATTTTTTTTTGTTGGAGATTTTTAATTGTTTCTTTGATCTCATTTCTTGAAATCAATCTGTTTAAGAGATCCATTTCTTCTTGATTAAGTCTAGGGAGAGGGTATGATTCCAAGTCTCTATCCATTTCCTTCACATTGTCAAATTTCTGGGCCTAGAGTTTCTTGTAGTACTCAGAGATGATCTCTTGTATCTCTGTGGCATTGTTTGTTATTTCTCCTTTATTGTTTCTGATTGAGGTTATTAGAGATTTTACTTTTCTGTTTCTAGTTAATGTGGCCAAAGGTTTATCAATTTATTTTTTCTAAAAACCAACTTTTTGTTTCATTAATTTTCTGAATGATTCTTTAATTTTCAGTTTCATTAATCTGTGACTTAATTTTGGTTATTTCTTTTCTTCTGCTGGGTTTGAGATTAGGTTGTTCTTATTCCAATTCCATAAGATGGTTCATGAGTTTGTTGATGTGCTCTCTTTCTGTTTTTTTGAATGTAGCCATCTAATGCAACAAATTTCCTTCTTAGGACTGCTTTTGTTGTATTCCACAAGTTTTTTTTTTTTGAGATGGAGCCTCAGGCTGTCCCCCTGGGTAGAGTGCCGTGACATCACTCATAGCAATCTCCAACTCCTGGGCTCAAGCCAGTCTCCTGCTTCTGCCTCCCAAGTAGCTGGGACCACAGGCGCCCGGGGGCCACAATGCCTGGCTGTTTTTTTGGTTGCAGCCGTCATTGTTGTTTGGGGGGCCCAGGCTGGATTCGAACCCACCACCTTAGGTGTATGTGGCTGGCGCCTTAGCCACTTGAGCCACAGGTGCCGAGCTGTATTCCACAAGTTTTGATCACTCATGTCTTCCTTGTTACATTTGAGGAATTTAACAATTTTCTTTTTTATCTCTTCCTGAACCCAACTATCATTCAGCATAAGGTCGTTTAATTTCCAAGTCTTTGTGTGGGGATAAACATTTTTATTGGAGTTGAGTTCCACCTTTATTGCCCTGTGGTCTGAGAAGACACAAGGTATAATTTTTATTCTTTTAATTTTGCTGAGCTTTGATTTGTATCCTAGGATGTGGTTGATTTTGGAGTGTGTACCATGGGCTGACGAGAAAAAATGTATATTCCTTAGCTTTGGGATGCTGTGTTCTATATATTTCTATTAATCCTTCGTATCTTTGTTTAGTTTCTGTTAAGAGGATCTGTCCTGTTTTGTCAAAGGGGTATTAAAAGTCCTGACTGTTAAGGTGTTATGGGATATTATATTGCTCAGACCCATCAAGGTCTGTTTCATAAATCTGGAAACATTTAAGTTGGGTGCATAAATATTTAAAATTGAAATGTCTTCTTCTTTTCTTTCTTTTTCTTTCTGAGACAGAGTCTCACCATGTTGCCCCTTGGTAGAGTGCCATGGCTTTACAGCTCACGGCAACCTCAAACTCTTGGGCTTATGCAATTCTCTTGCCTTAGCCTCTCAAGTGGAACTACAAGCGCCTGCCACACGCCCAGCTTTTTTTTTTTTATGACAGTCTTACTTTATCACCCTCGGTAGAGTGCCGTGGCATCACACTGCTCACAGCAACCTCCAATTCCTGGGCTTAGGCGATTCTCTTGCCTCAGCCTCCCGAGTAGCTGGGACTACAGGCGCCTGCCATAATGCCTGGCTATTGTTTTTTTTTTAGGTTGTTGCAGTTTGGCCAGGCCAGGTTTGAGCCCACCACCCTCAGTGTATGGGACCAGCGCCCTGTTCACTGAGCCACAGGCACCACCCTCTGCTATTTTTTTGTTGCAGTTGTGTTGTTTAGCAGGCCCGGTCTGGGTTTGAACCTGCCAGCATTGGTATATGTGGCTGGCACCCTACCCACTGAGCTACAGGTGCCACCCTGAAATGTCTTTTTGTTGTATTGTTCCTTTGACCAGTTTAAAGTGTCTTTGTCTTTCTTAACTTCAGTTGCTTTAAATCCACTTGTATCTGAGAATAAGATTGCAGCACCTCCTTTCTTCTGATTTCCATTTGCTTGAAATATTATTTTCTATCCCTTAACCCTGAGTCGTGATTTTTCCTTCTAGGCTAGATGTGTCTCCTAGAAACAGCATCTGGATGGTTTGTGCTTTTTTTATCCAGTCAGACAACCTGTGCCTCTTCAGTGGTAAATTCAGTTCATTGACTTTTTTTTTTTTTTTTTT